ACATTCTCCACCGTGTGAATCACAGGTAAAGTACTCCTTGTCCAACTGGTGACAGTACATGCAAGTGAATCCGCGAAAATGCATCTGCTGCTGTCTGCGATTAAGAGAACTCACTGTGTTGGATGTGTTAGCGAGTCTAAAATAACTGTCACCCTCGCAGGGGGATTGGTTTTTCGGCCAGCAGGGCACACGGCTCTTCTCACCGTAGACGCAAGACACATTAAACTGGCAGCTAACAAGGTCAGCGCTCAAATGGGAGCAGAGGGAGGGAGAGCTGGTTGAGTTGCGATTTGATGTCGTTACGGAGCTTCTCGATTCAGTTGTGGTGTCAGGTTGTGATGCGGGCGTCAAAGTAGTGGCAGTCAGACCAGTAGTTTGCGGAACGTCCTTGGAAATGCATGGTTCCAATAGAAGAAGAGCTATCAACCATTGGAGAAGCATCCTACTTTAGTGACCTAAAAGAATATAAAAATCTGAATTAGTGTAAATTTTGAGTTGTAAGTTAATGCAACCAGTTCACCAAATGAGGTTGAAAATCCGCATGCCAACATTTGACTTCAAGGAACTTCACTGCGGAGGTTCTATTGCACGTCAAAGCACTTAAGTTGCAACTATCAGAGAGAGGTATAGGTACGCAGTTCTGACAAAAGCGTTGAGCTGCTGAAAGGTCTAGGGATGAGATCAGTTCAACCGTAACTTGGTGCTAGTAGAATTATGTCATGAGAGTAGTCAAGGTCAGGCAACCAGCGCGAATGGTTAGTCCGCGAATCTGGTCAAGAATACATTTCCAAAGGACTGGTGACAGGATACAACCTTCTCGAACGTTAGGACTACGAAGACGTGCCGGTTACCGGCAGAATAGTTAAGTGATAACCTTTGCTTTGCGTCGCAAATTACGTCATTGTTAAATATTCCTCAACGGCCAGAACTCAATACAAAAAAAAACAGTGATCTGATGTCCAAGAATGTGATTCTGCGCATATATGCATACCAATTTGTAATCTTATATTGCATTCGCATTGCCATTACACCAGCCAATAGATACATTGGCAATAAGAGAGCATTTGTGAAAATCATACTGTCAGATCAAGGTGGATGTGTACGCTTAATATGTTTCCAATTCGCGAACCTGACTGATTACTTTGACCACCCAAAACGGCCTTCACTTTTAAATCTGCACAAAGTCGATATAGACAGCATTACCAGATGTTCAGCTTTATTAGTTACATCTGCTTTCAGTGGGACACTAATTATCTCTTGTTGGCGTGGATTCGAATCTCACCGAGACTGATGAGTTTTCACGTACTAAGCACTTACCATCCATTCGCCTTCGAGAACGATGCCACTTACTATTTTCTCGTCACTTACTATCCTGTCCGCTTGCCATTACTATGGATGAGCAGTGATAACATGGTAGGTGCACTGCCTGCACGCAGGTCAGTTTATCAGTCAGATAATACAACATGCGATTTACTAACCTAGGAGGCTACTAGGTGGACGGTCAGAAGATGCACAAGGAGCTCCAAATGCTGCGACAAGCGGCTTGGTTGATAAAATGTAACCAAAGTTAAAACGCATTGCCTATGTAACTAATGATCCATCAACTGACCAAATGGCTTGCGCCAACCGGCGGCTTGGAGACCCGCAATACTGCAACAGCTTATAAGGTCTACATAGTTTTTACTAAACAACTGGTTTGCCTTAGTGGGCGAAAGACTGGTGACTTCGTTGGGATAGTATTTTATGCCCTTTTATATCAGTTGACTATTGACGTCAACTTCAAGGGTAAGAAGACGAAGGAAAAGCTCTGCGGTTCACCAATTTATGAGGTGACGAAAGATACGTTATGAGGGAAAAGTTCTAATCACTTGAACAGCAGATGTCTTCGCCAGTTCGAACAAGGGTGACAGAGTAGATGACCTTGAATTAGAAGTGGCGTTTACAAGGCACTAAAAAAGGTCGTTCGATGTACGTAGAAAAGGCCAAAGTAAGCCGGATTCAACTATGGAGGAGTCTAATGGTCAAAGCTTCTAATGTCTTATCATACATTTCTCACTTGGAATCTACTCATGGCCCTTTCTGCCAGTCACAGAGCTCACCGCACTCATCGGACACTCAGTAGAAAGCATTTGTGTTCCGTTTTTAAATAAAAATTTTACTCTAAGAAAACCATGACGTCGGTACCAATTCACTTTAGGGGAACAAGGAGTTGACGAAATAATAGACCAGAGGATTCGCTAGAGAATGCTGGAAGTAAAATGTGATTTCATGCATTTTTGCACTGTATAATGCCATATCGCGACTTTTCGCAGTTATTTTCAAAGCGATTAAATGGAAAAAATCCGCTATTAATCGGACACGCCGGTCGCGACGTTAGCACGACTACTCGCCATGTATTTGCTACCAAAGCATATACCTTTTATTTTTTACAATACAGGTTTTACTACTGCAAACGCCTTTGGATGAAATGCTTTCGCATACTCGCACCTAGAAACTTAGGAATAGCTATTAATGAGTACTCTCAAATCGGTGATCGAACAGAACCGGGAAGTGGCGTTCCATGGCTCCGGGCTGGCTGACCTCGTCCGCTGCCTTGACACGTTGGAAGAGGTTGGGTGGGA